ATATTATCACTTGAAAAATTAGGCTAGCTTTGACTATTTGGCTTTGATGAATAGAAGCTTCAATGCAAGCGCCGCAAAATCTATGGAGTATTTGGATCGGTTTCAATGAATAAGTTTGACTACTGCTCAAGTTGCGCCAACAAGCTTACAGGTTTCTCTTGAACGAGTGCAGGCTCAGCTTCGATGAACAAAAAAGCATCATAACATTCGGCTTCTACAAATACATGATGGACTATTGACGCTCAGCTCCGACAAACAAATTAGAAACTATTGATTCTCAGCTTCAATGAATATTTGATGCTGATTTTGATAAATAATAGAGGAAACTTAGATATGATGAGAAAGGAAATGGCTTCAACTATTAAGTATAATTAATGACTATACATATATTTCTAATTTGTCTACTACTTGTATTCTATTTTTTTTAAAATCATGTTGAGCTCATGTCCAATGTGAAGTAGAGGTGTGTCCATAACATGCATAGTCCAAAAAAAAAAGTACTAAATATTTTGAAGTGTCGAACAAATGTAAGGGCGTGTCGAATGAGTGTCAGTGTCAGATACATGTCTAGCACAAGTAGGATATAATTTTAGAAATATATGTGCTACATAGATTAGAATCAACCATGATTGAACCATACAAGCAACCTATAGCCTTTTAGTTTAGAATTATAGTCTTTCGACTAACAAGTCCCGGGTCTAAAAGCTTGGGATTAAATTCACTCAAATTTCCCAAAGAAAAAAATCACAATTGAACCTAAAATGCAAAGAGGTAGAAGAATGTCAGCACTTTCAAAATAAAAAAACGAGTAACATTCTACTATGATGTTAAAAAAAAAACACATCCTATATATTTACATCTGATACATCGAAATTTTACTTTTTATATTTCTACTATCCTAATCTTTCATATCATATAAAAAAAACTACTAATTTAATCTATAAAAATTAAAATACACATTTAACATGTATGTAAAAATTGAAGTTTAGGAGTTAGATATGTGAATATATAGGGATTGAGAGGTGCGCATGTAAATCTTCCTAAAAAAAAGCCCTTTGTGATTCATATACTCTTTACATTGTTACTATGGACCAACTATAATTAACTTCAGCTCATGAGTAACCCCCAAGCAGATAGGTTTCGAATTCATGTCCAATTTAATCTAAACTAAACAACAAAATATACTACAGCAGAACTTTGAATATCCTAATCATGTTCTCCACCAAACTCACTGAAATTATTATGCAAAGATGTTTCATCAACATCAGGTGTAAATATAACATCAAATTCGTTGCACAAAGAAATATTTGCTCATACGATCACTGAATCAAGAAACCATATCCTCTTTAAGCACAGATACGCTACCCTTCCTCCCTCGCAAATATGATCCATAGGGCATTTGCATACATACCAACCAATTCTTATGCATTTTGTATCTAACACCAAAACTTTATCCATAGGGCATTTGAACACATACCAACCAATTCTTATGCATCATGTATCTAACACCAAAACTTTACTATTTTACATTTATAGCACTCAAATCTTTCATATCACATGAAAAATACTACTATTTTAACTTTTAAAAAGTGAAATACACATATTCATGCATATGTAAGGTGGCATATGTAAAAATTGAGGTTTAGGTGTTAGAAATGTAAATACATAAGAAATAAGTGGTATTTAAGGAAATCTTCCAATAAACAAGATGCACGCCAGTCTAGTGCTCTACATGCTTACATCAACTATGAGTCCAAACAGACAATCCAATAGAAAATCAACAATGCATTTAATCTTCAATTAATCTAGTAGTTCCCACTCAAAAAAATCTACACATCCGATTCAACTAATAAATCGTAAGAGAAAAATAGGTAATCAAAAAATGAGGCTAAAAAAACCTATTTAGGAAAATCAAGTTTCCCAAGAAAGAATAAAAATAAAGGAAACATGATGAGAGCAAACATTCTTATGACCATGTAAAAAAAAAAAGATTACTATATTATATTGTAATTAAAATGCACTAAAATCTAAAACAAGCATTTGCTCAAAATCCTTCTTAAAGTTACAATGCTCTTCAAATGTTCAAATGCTCGAGGGTGTTTTTTAAATCTATATTGAGATCAGAGCAAATGTCAACACATTAAAACATGTAATAATGCTAAAGGAAATTTACATATCTAGCATATAATTTTTATGTATTTATATATCTCACACCTAACATTTCATATTTACACAGACAGCATTTTGATACTTTAAAGTTATGAATGAAAAATTATATTTCACTACAAAAACCTGATAATAATGCTACTTTTGATGTGTTATTAAAGATTTGAGTGCAATGTGTGAATAAGAATTGTGTGGCATGTATGTAAATTCCCCAAGAAAATATCATCCATTAATGAGAGACCGGAGTATGCCTCTTTACAATCAATTTGCAAATAACCTCTACCCACATAGGGGCTACATCGATAGTCCACGAAAAATTGGTACAAGATTCTTGTTTTAAGGAAACTTGGGTGGGCCAATTTCTCATGAGCCTAAGTTATTCGTGTTTCAATTATTCAATGTTTCTGGGGTTTACAAAAAATCTCATCCAATGCTTCAATGGAAACATAACAGTAGGATTGTTCAACGAAGGCTAAGTTTATATGGGCTAAGCTCTATATTTATTTACTCCAAGATTTTTATGTAAGAAATTATCCTCTAAATTTAAAAGTGTAAATAAAATCCACAAGCTAAAGCAAGAATACTTCATACTTTCTCACTTCATAGGAATTTCTTCCAAAATGCAACAAGTACATAATAATTCTGAATTTGACCGAATAATATTTTTGAAATACCAGAGTCGACCAAAATTGAACCTAACACGAGAATAAGTTAAAAAAATTCAGTCATGCATTTGAAAAGTAAAATAAAAGAAATTTAGTCTTACCTTCTATGAAAACGCACATTTACATAAATAACACCCAATTCCTATATATTTATGTATCTAACACCTAAACTTTACTGTTTTACATTTATATCACCCAAAATTTTCATATCACATAAAAAATATTTCTATTTTAACCATTAAGAAGTGAAATACACCTTTTCATCCATAGGTAGGGTAACATGTAAGTAAAAACTGAAGTTTAGGTTGGATATGTAAATATATAGGGATTGTGTGGTATGTACGTAAATCTTCCTAAAAAAAGTAATTTATCAGTCATGTACTCTTTACATTGTTACTATGGACAAGCAACTATATCAAACTTTAGCAAATGAATGACCCCAAGTAGATAACTTTGGACTACATGTCCAATTTAATCTTACAGAAAAAGATAATACAGAAGAAAAACTTTGAATATCCTAATCATTTTCTCCACCCAACTCACTGATATTATTATGCAAATATATGTTTATGTCGAGTGTAAATATAAACAAAAAAATTAGTGGCCCAAAGAAATCTTTTTTCATGTGATCATTTAATCAAGAAAAAATATTCTCTTTAATCACATATACTTCTCCCTTCCTCCCTCGCAATTATAATCCATAGGACATTTACATACATACCACCCAGTTCTTATGCATTACATATCTAACACCAAAAATTTACTTCTTACATTTATATCACCTAAAGCTTTCATATCAACAACAACAACAACAACAACAAAACCTTAATCCCACTACGTGGGGTCGGCTACATGAATCCTTTTTTCTCCATTTCCTTTTTCTCCATTGCATCCTATTTAGTTTCATATTTTCATTTAGTTCTAGTAAATTAAGATCAATTTTAATACAATAAGCTCCAGTCTTCCTAGGTCTACATCTGCCTTTCTTAACACAAGTCGAATCTAAAACATCTACTCTCCTAATCGGATCATCAGATGGTCAATGTTTAATGTGACCAAACCATCTAGGACGACTTTTTCTAATTTTGTCCGTCACAAGAGCTAAACCAACCCTATCACGAATATATTCATTTTGCATTTTGTCTCTAAGTGTAAAGCCACTCATCCACCTAATCATTCTCATCTCGGCAACACTTAACTTATTATTATGCTTCTCTTTTAAAGGCCAACATTCAGCGCCATAGAGCATTGCAGGTCTCACCACC